GAGTCGTCGAGCACCAGCGGCGCGCGCTCGTCGAGGCGCGGCGGGGCCTCCCCGTCGGCCTCGAGGCGGCGGCGCGGCAGATGGTGGCGTCGGGCGTCGGGGTCAAGAAGAGCCAGCGTGCCTCTCTGGGCTCGCTGCTGGCGCTGCTCGACGAGCTGCGAGACGCGTGCGTCATGGCGGAACTGCCCGCGATGCTGCTGCGCGTTTGGAGCGCGGCCGGGCTCGACGCGATGCACGTCCGCAAGAAGCGGGCGGCGGCGGGCAAGGCGTCGCGCGGGGAGGAGGAGGAGGAGGAGGAGAGCGAGGGCGAGGAGGAGGAGGAGGACGGCGAGGAGGAGGAGGGCGAGGAGAGCGAGGACGACGAGGTGAAGGGCGAGAGTGAGGTCGCGCCCCAGCAGCGAAAGGAGCGGTCTCAGAGGCGGGCGCTGGCTCCTTTGCAAGGCACGGCCCGGGACCGCGGCGACGAGGGCGTGGCCGACGCTGGAGGACAGGGCGCCGGAGGTGGCGATTCGAGCGCGATGCGGCTGCCGTCAGAGGTGAGCTCGCTCGTAGAGGTGGCGACGGCCTTTTCGACAGAGTACGCTGCGCGCGAGCGTGCAGCGGCGGGCTCCGAGCGCTCGCTCTTTGCCCTCTGCCGCACGTATGTCCTCGACCACGCCGCAGAGCTGCAGCTGTCGGCGCTGCCCGACTGCGTCGTGGACGAGCTGTTTGCATCTCGTGGCCGCGGGCGGAGCGTGATGCGCGCTTTCCTCACCGAGGTCGCGATGCGCAGCTCGGCGGCGGATGCGCAGGACGCGGCAGCCGAGGGGTCGTCGAAGGTTTCTATCAGCACGATCCACCGAGCGAAAGGACTCGAATGGTGCGACGTCTACGTGCCTTTCCTCAACGACGGCCTGCTGCCGATGGGCTACCGCGAGGAGACGGGCAACACGGCGCAGCGGCACAAGCCGCAGTGTGCCGCGAGGCGCGCCAATGGCCATTGCGACCTCAACTGCGCTCGCGCGTACAGAGAGGCCGACGCGCACGCGCGAGGGACGCCTGAGGAGCGTCACGCTGACGAGGAGCGGCGACTCGCCCACGTCGCAGCGACACGTGCCAAGGACCGGCTCGTCTTCATAACGGTGCAGCTCCGCCGCGAGGGAGCTTTCGCTGCACGGAACGCGATGGAGCCATCGCCGTACGAGAGGAGCCTTCGCGCAGCACTGCCCGAGGAGACTCTCGTGACCAGGGTGCGCGGGGAGCTGCAGGATGCGGAGGAATAGAGAGGCTTGTGGAGTGCCTCCCAATGTGAATGTGTGTGCCGCCCATCTACCGCGTCTGCCCATAGTTTGTGCACTGCAGCAGCACCGAGCAGTACGGTGCGCGCGTCTGCCCATAGTCCTGGACAACGCGCACAATACGACTCTACAGTACGGTGCGCGTTGTCCAGGACTAAGTCACAAATACATGTGTACTCTAACTCTAATCTGTAGCTCTCTGGCCGCGGGAGCAGAGAGGACAGAGGACGCCAGAGGAGAGCAGCTCTCGGCGGGTCCGGGATCTCGCCCCTCTTTGTCATATTGACATTGTCTTTCGTGGACGAGCTTCCATCGTCGCATCGACACGCCCAAAGCCGCCCGCCGTGTATTGTTGCCGCAACAGTAGGAGCCAGAGCTGCCTACTGGCAGCCGCGCGCGATCGCCGAGGGGCCGTGACAGACCGTCTTGATTGGACTTTGGAGTATGGACGCTGCAGGGACGCGTTCCAAACTTGATCGTTGCTCGGTGGCGGGGGCCTCGGCGTCCCGTCGAGGTCGGGTTGTCCTGCCCGTCATGAACCACGCGCGACTGCCAAGGCAGCGGAGGGGCGCCTTTGTCGGCTTCTGCTCGCGACACACTTGCAGCCGGAGTCGGCAACTCGGCCTCCCAAACGACTGCTGCCCAGATGCGACGCCTTGCAGGCTGGCGCCCAATGCGTCACATCACATCCTGTTTGTGCACGTGGAGAAGACAGGCGGCTCGTCTGTGGAATGTGCTGCAAGGGACTGGGCGCAGGCCGGCTACTGGACGAGCATGGGGCACGTTGGAACTGACGGCCGAGGGGATGCTGCGTTGCGTGCGTGCCGGAGGCGGTGCGAGGATGCGGGCGTGCCTACTGCTGTCGTCATCAGCGTGCGCGACCCGTACTCGTACTGGCAGTCCGTGCACCGCTTTGCCTGGAGGGCTGCTGGGACGCGCCTTTCAGCCACCTACAACGCCCTGACCAGCGAGTTCAGAGCCTCGACGCGCGTGTCGAGGAGGGAGCCCGGCATCCTCGCGACGCTGCCTTCGCTGCTCGGCTGGGTGGAGGCGACGCCGAGCGCCGTTTCGTGCAGCTCCAACTTTTCGCGCTGCCTTTCGCTTAGTGGCCGCATCAAGCGCGCGTGCGGAGGCACCCTCTCGGGCTGCGCCGCTGACTTTGTGCTACATACGGAAACGCTCGAGCGTGACTGGTCCTCTCTGGTGGCTCGCTATGGCTTGCCCGCGACGCCTCTGCCGCATGTCGTGCCGGGCTCCGGGTACAGCAAGAACAGAAGCTGCCACTGTGCCCTCGACCGGCCCCGCCGCTGCGACCCCTTCTGGGGGCGGAGAGGAGGAGGGTCCTTCAGCTGCTCGGACGCGCCAGTGCTCGCCGCGACTCAGCACACAGCCGCGACACGCGCCATTATCGACCGTGTAGAGGGAGAAGTCTTCAACGGATTCGGCTATGCACATTCGAGGTGATACGAGGTTTATCATATAATTTAAGCGCACATGTATCGAAAGCGCATCTCCTCGCTCGGCCGACAGCGCGCGAGCGAGGATGCGCGCGACAGGGCGGCAGGGCGCGACTGGAGCCAACGAACGCAACTGCGCCCAGCTGTCGGACCTGCTCCCATGCTCTGGCCCCAGCGCGGCTCAGCCTTTCGTGTGGCCTGCGAGTTCCTGGTACTCGTCCGGTTCCGGCGGGGCCGCGTGCAGGCGCCACGTGCGAAAGGCGAGCGTCGTGGCGGCGAGCATCGCAGCGACGCAAACGGCGGCCGCCACCGGCGCCGCTGCCCCCTCGAGGCGGACATCGCCGAGCGGCGTCTCGGCGGTGGCGGCGTCAAAGACCGCCTCGACCGAGACGATCGGCTTCGCGACGGCGGCGGGCGGCTCCTCGTCGCACGCGCCTTGCACCGCGTCCGAGGTGTAGTCGGACACATTCTTCTGGAACCAGCCGAGCCGCCACGCCTCGAGGTACGACCAGCGGGGCTCGAGCTCGGTGCGAAAGTTCCTGCAGTCGGAGGGGCCTCCGGTGTGGCCGAGGGCGGGCTCGGGCGGGCTGGACTGGGCTGGGGCGCGCGCCAGAAGAACCAGCCGTGCCCCGCAGAGAAGGACTTGAAGTAGCGGTTCGCCAGCCTGGAGGGGCGGCGGGAGGACACAAGCTGAGGGAGGCCGCGGCATGGCACGCGCGCGACGCTCGCGAGCCTGCTCATCGTCTCGTTCTCCTGCGTCCCCCACGGCATGCCGACGGGGCACTTCCCAAACATGGGGCCGGACACGCCCGTCCCGTACGGGCCTTGCAGCGGCGCCTCGGCGTCGGGCGGCGCGCCTATGGCACCGCGCAAGCAGAGGCGTGCCGCGCGGCCTCGGGGGCTGCGGCGCCGGCAAGCGAGGCGCGCCCGGCTGCTCCCCCATGTATGGCTCCGGGCAGGGAACCATCGCGCACGATACCTTCGGGTAGCCTGTTCAGAGGTGGTGGCGTGAAGAGCCGCGGTTCACGCCGCGTGCCGCACGCGCCTTTGGGCCGCCTGGAAGGTTGTCGTTGAGGCCGTTGAGCCACATGGCGCAGTTGTCGGTGGCGAGGGACCACTCGCCCACGATCATCGGCATGTCGAGCTGCTCCTGTGCACGAGGGGGCGGCCGGGTTCGGGGGCGCTGCCGCTGGCGAGGAGGGGGCTGGCTGCGGCGCGGCGCTCCTCCATCGTGCGCAGCCCGCCCGCCATGCCGCACGCGGCGTCGAAGAAGCCCTTGGCGATCATCGGGTTGGCCCACGCCTGGTAGATGTGCGAGTCCATCGCCTTGTTGGGGCAGCCCTTCATGAAGCCCCACCATTCCGCCGGGTAGCCGCGGAACGAGTCGTGCATCACGAACTTCCAGTCCTGGCGGGGTGGTGGGGGGGTAGGGCGGTGGGGGGCTGCCCTCGCCGCGCGGCGCCGCCTCCTCCGCCTTTGCTCACCTTGGCCGCCTCGCGCGTGATGTGGTACGCGTCCCAGTAGAACTGCTTGATCCACTCGGTCGGGTACATCTGCCACGGCTCGTTCACCTGCGCCGGAAGGGGAGGCGGAGGCGCGGGAGGCGGTGGCGCGGGAGGCGGAGGCGCGGGAAGGGCTGGCACAAGGATTGGATGGCGCTGCTCTCTCCTCTCTCCCCACCCCCTCTGATCGGGGAGCAGCGGCCCGCAATTCCCACGGCGGCGGGCTACTCCCGCCCGCCCGCCCACCGGCTCGACGCCCCACACGGTCGCGTCTCCGCGGTGCCGCTCCGCCAGCTTGCGGATGACGTCGAGCGAGCGGTCGTACGCCGTCTTGTTCATCTCGGGCGGGTAGGCGCCCTTGGCGTTGTCGTACGGCGCGAGCCAGTCGGCGGCGCGCTGCGGCCAGTGCTCGAAGGTGGTCACCGCCTCCGGGTCCTGCGCCGAGACCTGCGACCACGGGCTCCGGCTCTCGGCTCCCGGCTCTCGGCTCTCGGACTCTCGGCTCTCGGACTCCCGGGATCCGGAGACGCGTCTGCGGCGCCTGCGTCCACTTGACTCGCAGAGCCTGGCCCGAGTTGTCGAACCTGCGGGTGGCGACGGTGGCCGGGGTCCCGGCCTGGCCTGGCTTCGGCGCCCTCCCCGCGCGTCCTCACCCGTTCTGCGACCCCTGCATCGCGTGCACGTCGAGGAGGGCGCGCAGCCCGTACTTGCGCAGCAGCGCGAGGGCCCGCTCCAGCTCCTCGAGAGAGCCTACTCCGAAGGACGACTCGCTCTGCCGGGCCCTCCGGCGGCCCGGCCCCGCAGCCGACTCGCCGTCGGTGCAGCCGATGTACGGCTCGTACGGCACGTACATCCAGTCGCCGACCGGGATCCGCACGACCGTCGCACCCGACTGCGCGATGGCACGCACGTCCTCCTCGCGCACCCAGCTCGCCCAGTGGCGGCGCAGCTGCTTGTTGCCCTCCTTCGGGCCGAGCGCCGCGCAGAACGTGTACGTGTCCATCCCCGTGTGGGCCGGCGCCTCCTTGCCAAACTTGCGGTCGACGGAGAGGAACTGGTAGAAGAGCGACGGCGTGATCCACGGCTCCAGCACGAGCCAGCCGCCCAGGTTGGTGCCGAAGACCTTCCATTCCTCCTTGGCCGTCTCGACGCCCTCCTCGCACACGTATGGGTTGTCCTTGAGCTCGCGCAGCTCCCGGCCCACGCTCGGCGGAGGCTGCTCCAAGCGCCCGTCACGGCCGACCGTGCCGGCCAGCGCCAGCGATGCGGACAGCAGCGAGAGCATGCTAAAAGGCGCCACCTGCGGCATGGATGGGGCGACGGTGAGGGTCATCGGCGACGGCGGAGGCGGCGGCGACGGGCTTATTCGTTCCGAAAGACATGTACCGTCGCCACGCCGATGGGATGATGCGGCGGATCGGCGGCGAGTTTCTTTTTTTAGATCTGGAGGAGAGACAGTGACGCGGTGGGCGGCGTCGAGAGCGGCAGCGGTGGCGGCTCGAGGGTGGAGGCGGTGGCTGGAGGCTGTGGTGGACTTTGAGTTTATTTAGGGGTCGAGTACGCGGGCCGCCGGCGAGCTGCTGCCGCGCATGCTGCGCTGTGGGCTTCGCCATCGTGTCCTGAGTACGTCGCCGACGCCACCTGCCGCTCGCCGCTGCCTTGGACTTCCCTGCCATCAGGCAAACACACAGACACACACACACAAACACACACACGTTATTAATCGGGTAATAATTATTAAATATTAATCCTCGGGCGGCGGAGCGGCGCGGCGGCGGGCAGCGCGAGGCGGCGGCGCGGCGAGGCAGCGGGCGGCGCAGGGCGGGGCGGCGCGGCGGCGGATGGGGTAATTAATTATTTGTTAATTCATTATTACTTAATAATCATCGGGCGGCGGCGCGGCGCGGCGGCGGGCGGGGCGGAGCGGGGCGGCGCGACCATCAGCAGACGCCCGGGCCTTTGGTCGCTGGAGCTCGGCAATGGTCGCGCCGCCCTCGACTCAAAAGGGGCTGCCTTCCACACGCCGCTGCTCAGGCCGGGGGAGGGGGGGAGACCTCCTGTTCCTCGCGGAACGGGAGCAGGCCCCTCCTTGCCCGGTCTGCGAAGCAGGGCGGTGGTCGTGCCATCTTGGCTTCACAACGAGCACGCCGCAACCGTCGCCGGCGCGCGACACGTTCGCGTCAGCAGGACTGTCCTGGTCGAGAGTGTGTGCCGCCAAGGCGGGACCACTCGGGGACAGTGCCGACGGGACGCGGCTCGAAGGGCGTGGCTCCGCAGCGCGACTGGCACTCGTCGCAGAGGCCTCGCATTCGACAAGTCGGGAACGGCTCTACCCGCAACTTTCTCGCTAACACGCGCGCACCGCCGAGCCTGGGGCGGGCGCGCTGCGGCCGCACGTCTAACTTCGTCATAGTGCCACGACGTGCGGCCTAGATTTAGCCCACGCGCCTCTGCTCGCAAACACTCACCCATTTGATTGTCACTGTCCGTGAGTGCGAGATTAGGGCTAGCCGCAGGCAGCTAGCCCGTGAGGAGAGCGTCCATAGACACCTCACTTAGACCCCACACACGGTCTCGTCCGTGCCTCGCCGGCCGGAGAGATTGCTAGAGGTGGAGCATGCTGCTCTAGCCTCACATGTCACTTCCTGTCGTCTGTTGTTTGTTGTGCCCTTGTTTGTTTCTCTTGGCACCTTGGAGTGCTGGGGGGGGCGACAGGGAGGATGTGGCCTTGAGTTATGTGTACGCCAACTCAGGGTGTGTGGCAGCCAGCTGGCTGTGTGTCTTGTGAGCTTGTTTGTGTCTGTGTGTCGCTCGTGCGTGTCGTCATCATCTGTCCAGCGTCCACCCATACCGCGTTGGTGTCCAGTCCGAGCCTGGCTGTTCTTCACCTTTCTACCTACCTACCTACCTAGTGGGTGTCGCCAACCAAGGCAACACTGAGGGTAGTGCCGACGGGACGCGGCTCGAGGGCGACTCTCGCGAAGGCACGGCTGGCAACCGTGGCGTGGGGCGCTCGCCTTCGACAAGACCGGGATCGCTCTACCGGCAAACCTCTCGCTGACATGCGCGCCCCGTCGAGCTGACGGCGGGCGCGCTGAGGTCGCACGCCAAGCCAAGTTATATGCCAATGGCATGCGATCAAGAATCGGCTCACGCGCCTCCTCTACTCGCATACGCTCACCCATAGAATTGTCACCGCCAGTGAGTGCGAGATAGGGCTAGCGGCTGGCGGCTAGCCCCTGAGGAGAGTGACCAGAGACACCTCACATGACCCCACACACGGTCTAGTCCGGCCTCGCGGTCGGCGGAGATTGCTAGAGGACGAGCAAGACTGCTCCAGCCTCACGCGCTCGCCCCTGTCGTCTGTTGTGTTGTTGTGGGCCTTGTTTGTTCTTTCGGCAACTTGGCTGGGGGAGGCGACAGGGGGGGGGGCGCGGCCTTGAGTTATGTGTACGCCAACTCAGGGTGTGTGGCAGCCAGCTGGCTGTGTGTCTTGTGAGCTTGTTTGTGTCTGTGAGTCGTTCGTGCGTGTCGTCATCATCTGTCCCGCGTCCACCCATACCGCGTTGGTGTCCAGTCCGAGCCTGACTGTTCTTCACCTTTCTACCTACATACGAGAGACTGCGAGTGCCGCATATCTGCTCTTGCCAGCCAGCACCGCGGACGGCTCTTCCTGTTTTAGCGGGGCTCGCGCTGAGCTCTGTCTCACAAGAGCTCGGAGGGGGAACGTAAACGAGTGTATGTGTGTATCGCTCATTAGTTCGACCGTGCGCCGCTGGTGCCTGGTGCCAAGGAAGACCGATCTCACACGTACTCGAGTACATCAGTTCCGAAAAATCCTGCGGCGGGCTGGGGAGCCTCCCCATCTCCCCCCCGCATGGGCACACAAGAAACGCACCCCAGAGTACGAAAGACCCTTCCACACGTGCTTGCCACTACTCCAGCACAGTCCTTGCGCGCGGGCTAGGCCGCCTCCCGCGCCTTGGCCCTTGCAGCGGCCGCCGACTCAAGAATAGGATTAGTCGCAAGAACCATCTCCGGTGTCGAAGCAGCAAATCGTGGCTAAATAGCCATTCATGCCGCCGCTGTGCATTTCATACCTATTGAAGAAGGCCACTTCCGCCTCCATAGTTCTGACAAATGCACCCATACCGCATGTTGGTTTGCCTCACACTTGGAACTGTACACCCGTTGGCGTTGCACATACCTGCCAGCGAGAGGCTGAGATATTGCCCGTGAAGTCTGCTTTGGCGCCAAAGCTTGTGACGAGTTTTGCCACGAAAAGTCCGCCTCTGCTAAAAGGGGGGTAACTGGGCGGCCAAATTCACACCTTGCGGAACTACTTATGTTTTCGTAAACGTAGTCGTGGCCCCCCCGCTACGTCGCACGAGTGCAACCGGGTAGCGGGGGGCTAAAATCTCTCTCTCTCTCAGACAGACAGACAGACAGTCGAACGAACGAAGTCACTCAAACAAAAAGCACGATTCTGAAGTTGGGCCCTCACTTCGGCTCATAGACGAAAAGTATCTTGACATTTGTTGATGGGGAAACATTTGTTGATGGGGAAACCCCTCCTCCGGGAAATGTTGAAAACACAAAAAAAAGAAATCAACGCGCTCGACTGTCTCTGTGTCGCACCTGGCAGCTGCTGTCAGCTGGGACAGCATGAGTCGTCTCAGGCTCTGGGGCCACGCCCGCTTCCGAGCGGGTCGCGTACTTTGGATGCTGGAAGAGCTCGGCATCGACTACGAGCACCGGCCGCTTTGGTCTCGGACGGCAGACATGGAGGCGCCGGACTTCCTTGCTGCAAGCCCTCGCCGCAAGATACCCGTGATCCAAGACGGTGACTTCACCCTGACGGAGTCTGCTGCTATCAACACCTACTTGTGTGACACCTACGCACCCGACAGCGGTTGGGTGCCACCACCGTGCACTCGGGACCGCGCAATCTACGACGCGTGGCTGATGACTATCATGACGGAGCTCGACGCGCAGTCGCTTTACATCCATCGCAAGCACCAGTGCCTGTCCGAGGTTTACGGAGCCGCGCCGGTCGTTGTCGACGCAGCTCGCGACTATTTTCTTCGACAGCTCGAGAGCGTGACCGCGGTGTTGCAGGCGTCGCCGAGCCTCCTTGCGGGCGCGCACACCTTCACGGCGGCAGACCTGCTGCTCACACATTGCCTCTGCTGGGCAAGAGAGATCGATTGGCTGCCTGACGACCCTGTCCTCCGCGCTTACTTGGACCGCAACACCGCAAGGCCAGCCTTCCAACGATACATTGCCAAGGCAAGGGAGGACCCTCACGCCTCAGGCCCCAGGCCCAGCGCCTGAGGCTAGAGTATAGCGAGGCTGCGCTGACGACTGACGTACGTACATAAAAGCGAACGCGGTGAGCTATAGAGTATGCATACGTTTCACCCTCTGTACCATCAATCGTGTCTTCGTGTCACGCCTGTGTGGCTCCGTGTGTGCGTCACCGTCAGTGCGTCAGAGCCTCTCGCGCAGGCCGCGCACGAGAGCGGTCAGGGAGACCTCCTCCTCCAGGGGGATTTATAACTATACGTGTTAATAAAAAGTGGAGTCTGGGGAGAGACAGTGTGTGTGTGTGTGTGTGTGCGGAGAGAGAGACACTCTTTCGTGTAACACAGCGCGAATCAGGTATCAGCGTACCAAACACGTATAGCTGGGGGGTGTCCGCCAATTTAACACATGGACGACACGTACATGACTACATTTGAGTATCACTGAAGAGCCACCCTCCGTCAGAGGCCAGGCGCCAAGTCAGACGCCCAGCCAGTCCAGGTCACCATCCTCTGCCGAGTCGGACGGAGAGGCGGGCGGCACCGACTGCGGATCATCCTCCTGCACCGCCGGCACGGGCATCCCTAGGGGCATCCTCCCGCCAGACGAGCGCGCCCGCTGCAGCGCCGGGTGGGTGGGCGGGACCCTTCCGAGGTAGACGGGAGGAGCGGTCGGCGTCACGTGAGCCACGCCCCCCTCCGACGCCTCGCCGCTCCACCAATCCTCGCCGCTCTCATCACCCGCCGCCTCGGCGCGGCCGTCGGCGCCGTTCTGCCACCACTCGTCGCCGCTATCGCTCGCCGCCGCGCGGCTCGCGGACTGACGCTCCGACTCCCACCAATCCGCCTCGGCGGCGTCTTCCCGGGCCGGCGGCGGCGGCTCCGCCGCCACCACCCTCGATAGGCCGGGAGAGTCGAAGTCGGAGGCGGCGCCGCCGGCTCGCGAAGGCGGGTCGAAAGGGGAGTCGGACTCGGAGTCGGGGCCGAACCCGCGCGCGGCGCGCGTGGCGAGGCTGTTGGAGGTGAGAGGCGGACTCGAGATCGGCTCTCCGCCCCACTCGCCCGCCTCGAATCCGCCGCCCGCCGCCTCTGCGTCGCCTTTGCGGTCGGCTGCCTTTGCGGGCGGCTCTGCGTCACCTCCAACAGCCTCAGCTGCGTCGAAGCGGGCCGCGTCGAGGCCGTCCGGCGCGGCCGCGTCGAAGCCTCCGTCGCCAAAGCCATCTTTCGCACTCGCGTCGAAGCCAGTCGCGTCGAAGCCGCTTCCGCCGCCGAAGCCGTCCGGCGCGGTCGCCGCGGTCGCGAAGCCGTCCGGCGCGGTCGCGAAGCCGTCCGGCGCGGTCGCCGCGGTCGCGAAGCCGTCCGGCGCGGTCGCGAAGCCGTCCGGCGCGGTCGCCGCGGTCGCGAAGCCGTCCGGCGCGGTCGCGAAGCCTCCGTCGCAGAAGCCACCGCCCCCACCATCAAAGCCCTCCCCACCAAAGCCTCCCCCGCCAAAGCCGCCCGGCTCCACATCGCCGTCAAACGCTGCGAACGCCGTCGCCTCATGAGAGGGCGCCTCCTGCGGCGCAGGCGGCAGCAGGCCGGGAGGCATGCGGCTCGGCAGCCCCCCCGGGAGCAGCCCGCGGAACAGCGCGGCGGCGAGGTGGAGCGCGGCACCAAACTCTGCGGCCGTGAGCTCGTCGGGCGGCGGGGAGTCGGAGCTGGGGCCGCGCGCCGCCACGCAAAGGGACCAGATGCGCTCGACGTCCTCGCCCGACGTTTGCGCCTTTGCAAGCACCGGCTCCGCCTCGGCGCGTCTCACCGTCGGGCGGCCGCACGCGGCCTGCTCGAACACGCTGCCGTACGCCTGCCGCTCCGCGTCGGTCGGGGGCGGGGGCGCCGCCTCCGCCGCGGGAAAGGAGGCCTCGAAGCCCGCGTCGTCGAACCCGCCGCCGCCCGCCGAGTCGAAATTGGCGGCGAAGGACACCGCGGCGGACGACGAGATTGTGGTGGACGAGCAGCTGGACGTGGCGTCCGTGGCGGGGCCTGCGGGCGGGATGATGCCCTCGCCAAGGATGAGCTCGGTCGCCTCGTTCGCGTCGCCGCCAGCAGCCTCGATCGCCTCCTCCGCCTGCCCCAGGTCGCAGTTGAGCATCTCGGCGAGCTGACTCGCCATCGCCCGCCGCGAGCCCAGCGCGCCGACGTGCTGCTCCCACGCCGGCGTCGTCATGCTCGGCGGCCGCGGCGACGGCGGGCCGTCGTCTTGCGCC